ATATGAATAGACCTCGCATACAATGTACTTTTTCGGCCCACTGGGGGATCTCAGGACCCCTTTACCATTTTCGTGTCACATCCTATCGTACCGATTCAGGCAAGTTTTGCACTACAGTACTACTAGTGATGAACTTTAAAATTAAAAAATACGTGGCACAGTATTGCCACATCTGCTTCGAGAATTATTTATTGAATTGAACGTGGCGTTACATTCCTTCATCAATGAAGAAACATAACGATTTAAAACAACGATTGATGAAGATTGGTATCAAAAATTTATATTTATTTATTTAAATTATATATCTATATATATTTATTTATTTAAATTATATATCTATATATATTATTTATATTTATAATTGAATATCTATATGTATTATTTATATTTATTTAAAAGATTATGTATACTTATTATAAATAAAAATAGATTATTTAAATTTAAAAAATTAGAAAAACTTGATTGGAATATGATATTTTTTAGAATAGCATAATTAGATACGACTTCTTTTTATTTATAAATATGTAAATTCACAGCTTAAATTAATTGCCTTTATTTCGCAAACTCGATTTTGTAAAAGATTGGAGTTATCAAAATGTTTTTACGAATATCGTTTGGATTAAAAATACACACTGTGTACTGTAAATTATTTCCAGCAAATCGTCCGTTTCGAAATTTCAAATTCAAATTTATTTTCTTAAATGACACGATACATATATTTTCTTTTTTATAGTACGATGTTATTTATTAATTATTACAAATTCACTGAGTTGCATTTGGAACGATCGAAATGATTTATTGTTATAAATATTTAATAAAAATGATGCAAAATATAAATGACTTAATGATATGTAGTAATATGAGTTCAAAACATTGTTCATTCATATTTTTTTCTGATTATCTCATTTTCATCGCCGGTGAACTTGTAGATTAATCACTCATTATCACGATTTCAACGATTTCGACGATCTCTAAATATTATCTACATATCGATTTCCACAACATATTCAAAAATGACCGAAATCGATGAAAGAGTAATCAGTTTACATATTCATCCAATTGCCTTGTCAAATGAAATGCGGAATGACAAATGAAAAACGAGTTAAAGGAACACAGACAAGTTTTGGTCTTGTCGAATTCTTCGTGGAGACATGAGATTTCAATTAGTCATTTTGGATGGAGTTTGTGCATTTCTTTGTGGGTTTCGGAGATAAGTTTTTATTATATAATGAAATATATAATAATTATGGATTTTCTATAATAATTATAGCTTTGTCAATATCTTTATATATATATACATTATATTTATTTATATTTATAAGTGTTTTTAATAGATTTTAAAGATTTTAAAAATTTCCAATGGAGTATAAACTGCACTATAAGAAATGCATCTATCCATTTTGTGGTTTAACAAATCGTAAAGTAATGGATAATGGCATTTCATTTTATAAATTTCCAGTTAATGGTATTAATTGATGTATAATGTGGATGATCAACTGTGGATTAGACGATTGGGTAGAAATGTCTAATAATTAATGAAAATTTTACTATATCTATATTGTATATTGCTTTATAAAAAATAAATAAATGTATATTTCAAGAAATAAGAAGTGTTGTTTAAAATAATAATAAAAATAATTAAAAAAATTAAAAATAATTAGCTATTAAACTCTTGTTAATTTACACCATCTAATGTACCCCTTTGTACCAAATTTCTAAAATATCTTTTTAGTCGATTTTACGAGATATATAAGGATATATTTCTATATTTTTCATTAAATCTTCATGAAACG